TTGAATAAATAAACACATTTTTTCGCTCTCGTATTGCATTTATAAATAAATAAACTCTTTTGAAGTTCTTAATGAAGTTAATTAACAATTTTGACAAATTAGCTCATAATTTATCATCATGCTATGTGTTTTATCTGTTGTATCGTTTGTACAAGCTCACTAACAATCAATTAAATTTCTTATTTTGTGACTACTGTACTTTCTAATGCTCTTTACAAAAATAAATAAGTTACTATTGATATTAAATTTAATTTTATGACTTTAAAAGTACTGAAACTTAGAAAAATATATCTCTCTCTACATTTGAAAGCACTCTTTTTAATGTAATGTACTATTCATTTATCACAAATAAAATGAGTTAACATTCTTTCCGATATAATATACTGTAGTTTGTATTTCTGTTGTTTTTTGCTTTTTATAGATATTTTTTAGTCTTTTAAGAAATTTATTTTAAAATATGTCTTAATATTTATTATCATTACTATTGTGTTGTAATACTTTTTCGGGGTTTTCAGTGGAAATTTTTGGCAAATATGTCATGAAATGTAAATTGAATGCGAAATTCATTAGCGTATAAAGAATAATCATTAAAAAATAAAAATCACTGCAAAAAACTTTAAATACAATATTCAAGAAATGTTTTCAACACAAAAAACTTCTTTCCGCACAAAAAAATAATAATGAATTTCTCTGTCATTCTTAAGACTAATTTCATTGAAACCCTCTTTTCTCTCGATATAATTAAAGGAAAAATTCTTTTATTATTGAATGTATTTGTAATGAATTGTGTGAAAGGAATATATATTTCTCTCTTTTTTGTGCTCAAGTGTTGATCACAAACACTGAGAGAGAGCGAGAGAGAGAGAGAGAGAGAGAGAGAGAGAGAGAGAGAAGGGCTCTAAATGAGTGGCAAATAAGTAGTGATAGGAGTAAAGAGTTTTTTGAGGACATGCCTGATGTATATGATGTATGATCTGTTGATGTGTCGAATCCTCTAATGACTTGCCATTGATCTCAAGAATTTCGTCGCAATCACTTCGCTCTGCCGGAGAACCTATCGATGGGAACAAAAACAAGAGAAATGTCTTCTCTATTAGTCTTTTGGCTCCGACTCTAACGTCTATAATATAAAGAGCTCTATAATCGACAGTAAGTTAGTTATGATAAGACAGACAACTCTATTATTACAACACATATATGCAGTATATAGGAATTTATTGTTATATTCTGCTATATTATATTATATTATATTATGTATAGTTTCTAAACGATTACAATTGCAATCGATTTGTTAATAATCTTGAGTTTTGTAGTAAAGTTTGCGCCGAAAACGAGAAATGAAAATATCGTTTCAAATGTGATGCGAGAGAGCATTGGAGATGCGATTTGGGAACCAATGCAGACAATAGTGACAGAAACGCCAAACACTTATCTTATAAGTGATATAACTTAATGATCTCTATTCACGCCATTCATTGACTAAAACTTAAGTCAACACAACATAAGACAAATGTGTTTTTGTTTCTCGCAAACAAATATCACTCACTCGCAGTCAGCAAACCTTTTGCATGTCATGTGTGTACCAAAGGGTTAATCAAATATTAAAAACATTGTCTGAATTAGCATTTGATTAGTACTGGTAGCGAGCGATTAGAGAAAAGCATTTTCTATAATTACTTATTAAGAAAATATCATATTTTTTGTGGTGTTGTGTGGAGTAAAGTGTTAGTGCTATTAAACTAAATGATCGACACTTTGCTAAAAGCTATTAAACAAACTCATAAAATACTAGCAAAGCATGCATTCATTCAATCCATTACATCGCGACTCCACACAAATACACTGTTAGAGCACAGCCTTTGCATCACATCTTTTTGACAAACAGTTAATACATTCCGACAAATGATTTTAAAGTCAATAAGATTTGGAAAATAGTGTTCAAAACACGCCAATACTTACCATACAATTTGATTTTGCCGTTTTGCTCGACTAACACAATCACATAACCCCCGAGATCTACCATTTTGGCGGTGCCTACCAGTGCTACCAGTGCTCTGTTGACGAGGATTTGCTTTTTGGTGATGAGGACGCCGTGAGGAGATGCGGAGCAAACCTTATGTGCCATCGATCGCCACAACTGCGCCGACGTTGAGGATGTGCACAGACTTACTATAGACTCTCTCTCTCTCTCACTCGCTCTTCGTATATCTTATGCCTAAACAAACACTTTTCTTTGGATTCTTATAGCATTGAACAGTATTTTCATATTTTTCGGATGAAATAAAATAAATATGAAGTGTTTTTTATATTTTTATTTCCAATCTGTTTGAGCTTAATGTGCAGCACTGGTAGCACTGGTATATCGGGGAAAGGGTTAGTGTTTCTTAGTATTCCGCGTAAGACTTCGCTCTATAATATGAGCCTTAAAGAACCAGATAGGCGCTAGCTATTTTTATTTAATTAATAATTTGACTCAGAATCCAATTATTCATAAAATATTCATAGGTTTACGGTAAGATAGTAACTATAACTTATCAGAGTAAAATAAAATAAATATGAAGTGTTTTTTATATTTTTATTTCCAATCTGTTTGAGCTTAATGTGCAGCACTGGTAGCACTGGTATATCGGGGAAAGGGTTAGTGTTTCTTAGTATTCCGCGTAAGACTTGGCTCTATAATATATTTTCTATAATATATGTGTCAAACAGAATTGGAGTCAAATTCTAATAAAACTAAAATATATATAGAGTTTATGTTCAATATTTGTTTTAAGCAAAAAACTCGAAGAAAAAAGTTTACTAAATATTGCAATAGTTTTGGGAAAGAATTCTTGTGAACGCATCTGGCGTTTAGAAAATAGGTTTGCATTGCATTGGAAAGGCGTTCACAGGTATTACAGCTTTTCTCACTCCATGTTAATGAATAGTGTGCTAAAAACGCCCGATAAATATCAAGACAGTTGTAAAAAGTATTTTTCGGCCCAAAAATATTTATTCAATAAGTGATTGCAAACAAAAAGCAAAACATAAACCCAATGATTAAGACGTGAATGAAGTGAATCGCATAGAGTTTACGCTGTAATGCATTGACACACAAATGGCATACACTATGAGTGCATATAATCTCAGTCTTCGTAACAAAACAAATGTCAATAAAGTTGTGAAATGTTTGGCATTTGTTTCGCAAACACATTGATTGCCATTTGAATAGCACTCGCATTTGTGGCTCATATCATCACTTGTGTGGATCAGTTACCATCGATTGTCTCCCATCTGGTGGCCGACAATGAGGAAGAGGCCGGGTTTGGGTGATTTGCAGCGCCGACAACAACAGGACGCCAAATACAAGGAGAAGAGTCAAGTGATGGCCGCCGAAGAGATCAACAAACTGTCGCAACAGATGTCTGAGTTTCAGACAAAGCTTCAGGAGTTCGCTCAGAAACACAAGAAGGATATCAAACGCGACCCCGAGTTTCGGCGCCACTTTCAGACGATGTGCGCCACCGTTGGTGTGGATCCGTTGCAGTCTTCGGCCAACTTCTGGACCAAACTGTTAGGCGTCGGCGACTTCTACTACGAACTGGCCGTTCAGGCCATCGAAGTCTGTATGAGTACCAGTCATCGCAACGGAGGACTCATTGGTATCCATGAACTCCATTCACGACTCCTTCAGTCGCGAAACACCGCTAAACTGAGTCACAAACCGGACGAAGAGATATCTGTGGACGACGTGTTGAGAGCCATCGAGAAGTTGTCTAAATTGGGAAGCGGTCTGAAAGTGATGTCTTGTGGCAAGACGTATATCATTCAGTCGGTGGCCACTGAGCTAAGTCTGGACCAGAACTCAATCATACAAAAGGCTCAATCGACCAATGGATGTGTGAGTCTGTCATCGATTGTCAATGACTTGCAGTGGACTGAAGAAAGGACTCTGAAGGCCATCAACGATATGGTGATGGAAGGGATCGTTTGGATCGATAAACAGTCGCCGACCGGACACACACTCTACTGGTTTCCCGGTCTTCGACAGTCATTGTCTTACAAATGAACTCTTATTTACATTTTTATTGTTTATATAATTAATTGATTAATAGTTTTGATACAAAAAATAAGTATTAAATTATTTGTAAATAATTTTATAAATTTCATTCAATCACTGATAACAAACGTAACATTGATTTATAGTATATCTTAAAACTTGAAATGTTTTGCATTACTCCTGATGTGAGGGAAAGGGAATGGTTTCGACAAATGGACAATCGGTTCGTGTTTTTCCAATTCAATGCTCTGAATGTCACTGAGAAACAACTCTATGACCCGGTGGTGAACACGGTGTTGAACGCAGCCGACTCGCAACTTCAGCATGACTTCGTATGTTAGCCACCTGCTGACAAGCATAGCCTCGGCTTTCGGCAGGAATATTACGGCGGCCAATTGGAAAGGGTCTGAATGGAAGCGCAATACAATGGGTCCGTTGGCTTTGGTCACTACCGGCGCGTCGTTCAGCATATCTGACTGATTGCCAAAAATTTCCACTGAAAACCCCGAAAAAGTATTACAACACAATAGTAATGATAATAAATATTAAGACATATTTTAAAATAAATTTCTTAAAAGACTAAAAAATATCTATAAAAAGCAAAAAAAAACAACAGAAATACAAACTACAGTATATTATATCCGAAAGAATGTTAACTCATTTTATTTGTGATAAATGAATAGTACATTACATTAAAAAGAGTGCTTTCAAATGTAGAGAGAGATATATTTTTCTAAGTTGCAGTACTTTTAAAGTCATAAAATTAAATTTAATATCAATAGTAACTTATTTATTTTTGTAAAGAGCAGTAGACAGTAGTCACAAAATAAGAAATTTAATTGATTGTTAGTGAGCTTGTACAAACGATACAACAGATAAAAATGTATCGTACTACTATTTAATACTCGATTAAACAGTTTTAACAATTAATTGAAGTAATTCTTGAAGTTTTCTCAAATAAATAAATATTTACGTTATGCTCTCGCTTTTTTACACAAATAAATAAGTTTCGTCAGATAATTGAATGTTAATAAATGAATGGAAAAGTGTTAAAATAATTATTTATTTAGCGGTGAAATTAAAAATTTAGATAAAAACAAGAGTCTGTAGTAATAGTACAGTAGTAGTGAAGTGAATCGCTGTAGAGATAGTGATAGTGTTATGCAGTGCACAGAGAATCTCATTTGAAATGTGAATCCAATGTGAATCCAAGCATTTTATTCGCGGCCCGTATTTCTCATAGCATTGCCTGCATTGCCAGGTATTGTCAGGTATGTCATACACACCTATCAATAGGCAATGCATTGGCGATAGTGGCTATACAGGTGCCCCCTCTATAGTGAAAATTGTGAGTGCAGTGGGACGGGTGCTTTTATATTTCATTTCACTATGCATTGGCCAGTGTGTAGGCACTGGTAGTGTAGGCACTGGTAGGCAGGTGTGCGACAATTTGCATACATTTCACTGCATTGTGAACTGTTTTTTGTCCGCTAAGCCAATGCCATATGCACTGCACTCACACACAACCACTTGTGTTCACAAAAAACAACAATTTTCATGAAAAATCCTTTCATTCATACATTTAGTGGTGAATGCATTCACTGCTCATAAATAGTAACCAATTAATTATTAATCATTTTGTTGTCAAAAGTGAGAGTTATTTATATAAATTTGATTACTCCATGAGATCACCGCATACTAGCGTATAGTATGTGATAATCATTGTAATTGTGTTTTAATTATGGATTGAAACGAAAAAAGTTTTTTTGTTTTAATGTTTTTCAGTTGTGGATAGCATTGAGTGAATCGTAAATATTATATATATTTCTATGCGTTTGTATTGTGTGTCTAATATTTCCTCATTTTATGCATTCATTCATACATTGAATTGAATGCAAAACTAAACTATAATTACTCGTGTATTGTAAACAACGAGTGACTAATAAAGTGGCAAAACAAACGGAAATGCTCAAAAATTCCGATTGACACGAGACTTAACACGATTAGAACACGACTTTGGTGGGCAAGGGATGGTAGGGTAACTGTCACGTAATCCAGCGCCTGATAGACAAACGCTCAGTTTGCTTCCTTTTCTGGCAAATTGGGTGAGTCTTCCTCCATGTCTTTGGTACAGAAGTGCGCAATAGAGAGAAAGATATGTAAGTATAGAATACACAGTAACAGAATAGTCAGGACTGCTGGGTAAAACGTCTGTAGGTTTATGGGATTTATTTCCTTTCGGAAGGGAAAGGTCCTCTATGTCTACCTGTCTTCCCAACGCTCTCTCCCTTTAGCTCCCATTCCCTCCCTTTCCCACTCTCTCTTCAGTTCTCATTGTTTTTTAACATCAAAACTAGAGTTCAATAATGTATTGAAAAGTGTTGCGCGAAATGTAAAACCGATTTTGCAGTCAATGTTTGCAACACTACTTCACACTTGACTTGACTTTTATGGCATTTTTCATTTGTTTGTATCATTTGTCGCATTCAATCAATAGTCAAGTCGTGAGCATAGGATAGACGTCTGAGAGGACAGTGCATGCGATGGCATATAATGGCTTCAATTAAAGCCAAATGTGTCCGAAAAGTTTGATTGCATTGTATTTGTGTAATGAATGCCAAATACAGACATAGACTGATGTGCTGTAGAGTAGTGTGGAGTCGATTCTCATGGGATGTATGCCCTGCACCTGCATCTGACCCGACCCGTCAAACCTGTTATGTAAGTGAGGGCTAGGATTGGAAAGGCATACCATCGCCACCACATCCATTGCCTCTATCTCTCTCCCCGTCTCTCAGTCTCTGGTTTCAGTCCATCGACTATTTGATGGCGGCTTTCGATCACTTGTATCAGTGTTTGTCTGTCTCTCACATCTAATGACACAAACATTAACCACTTGTTTGTGAGAAGACATACGAAAATCCTTTTTTCCGACTAAAGAGTTGTCTTTTAGTGTTATTTTGAGTTTGAAATTCATTTTTCTCAATCGCTTGTGATTTAAAACTTTATATTTTATCTCAATTTTTTAGGCAAACTCTTATTAAATTACTTTCACTCTTTGAAAGTCAAATGTTTGACAGAAAATGATTTTTTTGTTAGAAAACAGTGCTTTTAGTTGAATGAATGTTTGTGTTTGAATTGACAGCACAAAAATTATTTATCACTAAAAACTCTTCTATTTTTTATTGCTTTTAACGTCAATTTGTATAGTATTTGTGCAAAAGATTTATATTCATATACAGTATTAATAATTTTATGACAACTCTTGTGATAACAAAGCAATTAGTAATGCATTAAGTATTGTGTCAATAATACACTCCCAATATATCACTTGAAATGTATATTTGAGAGAAAACAGTGAAATATTTGCGTTATTTTGAGCGTTTAATAAACTTAATGTTTGTCTGATTGATACGAAATGGTTGTGTCGGACGGATAGCCATCGACTCGTCGCCCATCGACGCGTTTGTGATCGGTTCCAGAGCTCGTGAGCACCTCCAGTCCATCGCTAGAGACACGAACATCACGCCCAGAGATATCGCACAACTGTCCAAAATATTAAGTAAGACATGGAAACACTTTTTTCATGTATTAATCATACAGAGAAGGATTGCCTACTCGTTATCTCCTATTGATTTCTGGTCTCATTTGCTGAGTGAATGTGTTGTGAATTTTTTAGGTGAGACCGAAGACACTAATAATAAGGTGATCGCAAACACCACCACAACCACTGCCACAACACACCAGTCCTTAAGCGACAGACAAACGGCTGTCGATTCGTTGGTTCACAAGAAGCGAATCGATTCACAAGAGGGAGAAATACTGAGTTATGAACTGAACGACGAGAACATGGAGTTAGTTGAGTTAAGTGCTTCCCATAACATGTCGCCCAACCGTCCGACACCGACGCACCGGGAGCTGCCGGTCGACGTCCCGGAATCGTTTGTCGGTAAGTGTCTGATCAGTGATCACCTATTTTTAGACATAATTGTGTTTGTATTGTGTGTGTGTTTTTGGTTGTATTTGTTTTGCAAATTGAGTCCAAAAGCGGCACACCTTTTAAAACGAGTGCTTTGACACCAATGTGTGTTGTGTGACCCACAGGTGTTGTCAAACAGACCCCCCGATATCCGCCCCCACACCCACCACCGGCCCCACCACAGCGCACGTCTTCGCAAGCGCCACAAAATGAGAAAATTAGGAAATATTCCGAAGAAATTAATAATAAGAAAGCGGAGGAGGAGTTCCTTCGGTCGAGTTTGAGGGGCAGTAAAAAACTGCAACAACTCGAGCACAATAAGACCAAAGAGTTGGAGCCCGTCATCAACAATGCCTTCGAAGCCGATGACGACGACGACCCCCAACTCGACACTGAAGACGATAATAAAGGTATTTAATGGCATAAACCAGACGCTAAGAATGTGCGACAAAACTACTAAAAAAATGTTTTATAACTCTTTTTTCTTATCGTTTTCTTCCTCTCATTTTTTTGACTTTTATTTTGAATGGCATTCCATTTCCACATCATTTGATTGCATTGAATGTCACAACTTCTTGATGTTGTTGTTGTTTGTTGTGTTGCGCTCAATGATGGCATAAAAAGTGATGTCTCCGGACTTGAATGCAGTGTTGGAACGCCTTATAAACAATTTGAACGGAGAAGTGAAGGATATTATAAATCAATCCAATTTAGCAAAACTTATAGCAATCTATACAACTATTATGCAAACGCAACAAAAACAAAAGCACTGCTCATTACCGCCAGCCGTCATTCCAAACGCTTCCAATACCGCAGACCTCGTCCAAGAAGTGATCCTATTATTGCAGGAAGAAGTGAGTGCCCACTGTCCTCCCATTCCCCACTCCCGCCCCCTTTTAGGCCTAAATGTGTTGCGACT